CAGGCTTTTGCAACGCTTGTCTTAACGGGTGGTTTGTAAGAACCCGTATTGTGTGGGATTGAAAGTAATGCCGAAGCTTTCTTGAGGCTACCATCAGGGTCAGGGCCAGTTGCTCCATTTCAGTGTACCTTGACTCGGCGTCGAGGAATCTTTTGCTTACGTAGTAGACCAGCAGCTGGACCTTTTCTTCCTCTCTTACTAGCACGGAGCTCACGGCATGTTGTGACACGGAGAGGTATAGGCTCAGCTCCTCGTCGGTGATGGGTTTTGACAGGATCAGCAGCCTGTCTAGGTGCTCCTTCAATTTTTGGATGGCCTATTCGCATTGTGGTGTCCATTCAAAATGCTTACTTCCTTTTAAAGCGTCAAAGAAGGGAAAACACTTATCTGTTGCCTTGGATATGAATCTGTTTAGAGCGGCGACACACCCTGTCAACCTTTGCACCTCTTTTAGTTTAGTTGGAGACCTCATATCTTGCAAGGCTTTTATCTATTTGGGATTAGCCTCTATTCCCCGGTTGCTAACCATGAAACCAAGGAATTTTCCTGATCCAACTCCAAAGGCGCACTTTAGGGGATTTAATTTCATGTGGTATCTTCTCAGCACGCCAAACATTTCTCCTAAATGGTCGACGTGCTGGGTGGCCCTGATACTTTTTACAAGCATATCGTCGACGTAAACTTTCATTCATTTGCCGAGTAGTTGAGCAAACATTTTATTCACGAGCCTTTGGTATGTGGCCCCTGCATTTTTTAAGCCAAAAGGCATTACCTTGTAGCAGTATAGGCTTCTATCAGTTATGAATGATGTGTGCTCCTCGTTAGTCGGATGCATGGGGATCTGGTTGTATCCGAAATAGGCATCCATAAAACTCAGCATCTCATGCCCTACAGTGGCGTCGACCATTTGGTCTATTCGAGGGAGTGGGAAACCATCTTTTGGGCAGGCTTTGTTGAGGTCGCTGAAGTCAACACATGTTCTCCATGTCCCGTTAGGTTTGACCACCAAAACGGGGTTCGAGACCCACCGAGGATAATGGGCCTCTCTAATGAAACCGTTGTTGATTAACTTATCGACATCTTCTTTCAATGCCTCGTACCTCTCCGGGTTCATTGGTCGGCGCTTCTGACATTTGGGGGGATATGGGGGGTCGATATTCAGAGAATGGCATATGACTTCTAGGTCGATCCCTTCCATATCCGCATGATTCTAGGCGAAGACATCCAGGTTCTTCTTGAGGAAGCTCTCAACTTCCACCCTGAGTGATGGGGTTGAGTCAGAACCTACTTTTAGCACTCTGGTTGGCTCGTCCTTGTCAACTTGGATCTCCACCAACTACTCAACGGGTTGAGACCATGCAGCCTCCTCTTGGACCCTGGGGTCTATGTCCTCAATGGCGCCTTGATAAACCACTATGGACTCCTGTCTCCCTAGCTGGTCATAGCCGCGCAAGGCATCAAAATATGCAACCCTAGCCTCGTACTGGTTGCTCTTTATTTCGTATACACCGTTTGGTATAGGGAATTTGACCTTTTGGTGGTAGATGGAGGTTATTGCCCTTAGCGCCTGAAGGGTCGGCCTTCCAATGATGGCATTGTATTGGGAGCCTCCCTTTGTTACCACAAAATTGACCATTATGGTGGCCTGTCGAGGTTTCTCCCCGGCGCTTATAGGCAGCCTAATGGTTTCAATACTTTATATATGACGTGGTATTACCATGGCGAAGACGATGTTATGACTAATCCAATAAATGGATTACTTGACGAGATGGTTGCTGGACGATCACAACTTCCACCTTATCCAATGAGACTCCCAACACATTGTCAGTCAGGTATTATATGCTATAACACATACTCCCAAAACTTGTTACTTGTCAAACTCTCTATAATCAAATTTCATTGTTTTTATTTTCTTATAGTTCTGGAGCCGACATCTTGATGTCGGTCTGGTCGAGAAGTAGCTATAGGTCGAGATATAGTGGAGAAAGTACAAACAGATGGGAAGCTTTTTGTCTTATTTGACGAGATAGGTTCGTGAAAGGTGATTGGTGAAAATGCCAAATATTTTGACAGTGCTGTCGGCTTGCACACAAGAGATACATGTGATCCACACTACAATGCCTGGAAGGACATGCCTGAGGAGCACAAAAGGAGGATTCAAAATCGCATGCTGGTATCTATTTGAAACAAATTTGTTCTAAAAATTTTTATTTGTTGATTTTTTAATGTATTCTAGGATTGGTTTAACCTCAACTACGACCGCGACAATGATATCATTAGAGATGTAGTCGACCGTGAAGCCAATAAATGTTACAAGTACTGGAAGACTACCTTGCACAGACACTTTTAGAAGATGGGAGGGGCAGAAAATGAGGATTTTGTCAAACAAAATCCTCATAAAAACTTGAGGAGAAAAGAGCAATGGGGACCTTACTGTGATCGTTTTACGTCCCCTACTTTTCAGGTTCAATTTCATTATGTCTTCTTATTTTTGATTACTTAGTTTATTTAATTATTAAGTATGTTATTAATTCATGTATGATCATTACTAGGAAAAATTTGCTACAAATGAATAAAACCGTGGTAGTCAAAAGTGGTCTAGCTTCCATGGTAGAAAGTCATACTCCCAGTATCATTTCGATAAGATAATATTAATTTACATACTTGTTAAGTTTTTTTCACTTTAGTTTAATAATTATTCTAACACATTCAACTTGATTACGGAAATCCTGAGACCCATGAGCTAGGATCACTAATTGACAATTGGGGTGACATTCACCGTCATGGGCAGAATTTTGTCAACCCGGATGCGGAACATGCATTTGTAAGTAAATTTTAAAATTATTTCTTTTTTCATATTTAACATAGTATATTATACTATTTTTATTCATTTTTATTTCCTTTACCTTTGTAGGCTCAGATGAATGGGGAAAGAACCACGTAGATGACACCGTCTGCTGGCAAAAGTTCATCCATGCCGGTCACTGAGGAGGGGATTATGTCCCAAGTCTTGGGCAAGCGCAGAGGACACACTAAGGGAGTGTGATCGACATTGCCACGGAGGAATCATTCAAGCGCTTTCACCTCATCATATGCTTCGCAATCGGACATGTCGTCGTCCATTAATTTGCCCAAGCATGTCCAAACCTGACTGAACAACATCTATGTCAAGCAATGTAAAGTGTTCGACAACCAACATATGATAATAGAAGCCATGCGCACGATGAATTCCAACATTAACTTCTTGCCACTTAATCGTCCTGAACCGTGGGTTTGTCCGCCGCCGCCGCAATAGGGAAACGAAGAAAACGAAGATGTGGACGACGACGCAGATAATTTCAGAGATTAAAATATCTATTTTTGTTTTTCTTATTATTAATACTTTTTTGTATAGATTGATTAATTTACTTTTTAAAACTTATTTTATTATTGTGTTGACTTTTTTATATGAATCTTTTATTAGCAAATATCAATTTTATTGATTTATTTTATTATTAAATTTTCTTCTAATTTATATATTAATAATTAATATTATTAGGAAATTAGGGAAAAAAAGAAAACATTTTTTGCGACGACAAATCTGAAAAAAGTCATCACAAATAGTCTAAATCACTAGCAACGACATCTAACCCTTTTGCGACGACATATATCATCGCAAATATAACTGAACACATCATCATCAATGACATGTTCGATAGAACATTCATGACGACAGTTGTCGCTAATGTATTAGCGACGACATCTCAAAACTTTGTCGTCACAAATATATTATTTGCGCTTAATTTTTTGCGGCGACTAATTTGCGACGACATGTCGTCGTAAATATAATATTGCTGACGATAACGTACTCTTTTGCGACGACATTCAGTCGTTGCAAATACGGTTTTTTGTTATAGTGTGGGCTAAAATAGAAATACCAAAAGATAACAAGGAAGTTATCTATATATAGTGGTTATGGTCCTTAGATCACACGTATCATTCTATTCTTTGCTGACATCCTATCATCAGAGAGAGAGCATAGAGAAAGTGAAAGGATTCTCTAGGAAAACGTGTTGATCCAGAAGACAAACCGCACAGCTCTAGGGAGTAATTTATTATCATGGATTCAAGTACGCTTCCGCTTATTAATCTATTGATTCTTAGGCATCGTTCACTTCACGGATTCGAGTTTTCAATTCAAGCTGAGATGTGACATTTTCTGAGAGCTTTTTCACTGTAGCAGAAAAAGTTAGATGTGACATTTTCTGAGAGTTTTTTACTGTAGAAACCTAAAACTGAAAACTCGAATCAGTGAAATAAACGAGGCCTTAGTGATCCAACATGAGTGTTTCTTGGATTTTAAGAGATGTTTTATATCAAATGATATTTTCTAACAAGTGGTATTAAAGCCTCTTCATGTTGAATCATTGAGAACAATTTTAGAAAAATTTTTTGGTGGATGTATTCCATATTTGTTTTTTCTTTTTTTCTTTTCGGTTTAAAAAAATAAAGAGACCGGCGGTAACTTTTCTACCGCCAGAATAGTGAAATTCAGACACAACCATGAGGCCACGCCGGCGACGAAGAGCCGCGGAAAAGGGACAGGGCGGCCGCAAGCTTCAGGGTCGCAACATTTTGTTGCGATCCCTAGGGTTGCAGACTTTGGGCTTCGGCCCAAAAATGCAAGGACAAACCACGAGCCCAATTGGGCCCGTAGTTGTAGAAGTAGCTGCGGGCTTTGGCCCGCAGCTACAAAAAAAAGTAAATAAAGCTTATGGGTGGGGGCTGATGGTGGCTGTTAACGGGGATGACATTAACAGGGTGTATAATTTAGGTCCTGTTTATTTTGTTTATTTGAGTTTAGAATTTGAGTTGAGATGTGACTTTATGTGAGAATTTTTTATTGTAGTAAAAAAGTTCGATGTGATTGTTTGTGAGAACTTTTTACTGTAGAAAAACTTAAATTCTAAACTCGAATTAACGAAGTAGACGGAGCCTTAGAGAGTCGTGAGGATGAGTATTTGGAGTTCTCTCAAAGTTTAAATGATGAACAACTCAATGAGCTTCTGAGGGAGCTGTGTGAGGAGGGTACGGTGTGGACTAAAACGACCCGGGGATCCATGACCTTCCCTAGGAGATGCCTTAACCCGGGACCGAAATTTTTGTATCACTTCCTCAAGTCTATGCCATCATCCCATGACCATATAATTAATTAACAAAGGGCAATCCTCTTGTACTGCATTGTTAAGGGGATACAAATTAACATCTGGGAGGTAATCGAGGGACAAATCGAGGTTTGCGCGCCTCGAAGATGCGGGGGTCTATGGTTTCCCTCTCTCACTAAGTTGTGCTTAGAGCAAGGGGTCGTTTTTACAGGTGCTGAGGACAAGCAACAGCCCGCCGGACCCATCACCAAGGCTACCATAACTCAAATTTTACAGGAAGAAGAAGAGGCAGCCCCAGCCCCAGCCCTTACAGCCCTACAAACAGAGCAGTCCACTCAACCCCCTACCGGTTTGGAAGCGAGCTTTCTACGACGCGAGCAGCCGATCTGCCAAATGGAGGTCATGCAGTATGAATCTATGCAGATGATGCGTGACTTTTGGAAATATGAACAAGAGAGAGATTTGGCTCTGCAACAGCATTTCTGAGCCAACCCCAAAAGATTTCACTCCTTCCCAAAGTTCCCGCAACACTTGTGTGATCCATCTTTTGATGATCCCGAACCTGACCGAGATGAAGAGGCTGAAGAAGCACCCTGTATCCAATCGGATGGTGCGAGTTCAGTGGTTGACATGGCTACCTCTAGTTCAGGAAGAGGAAAAGGCAAGGCACCAGTGTCAGCACCTCCACCAAGGAAGTCCACCCTCAAAAGCGCCTTGAACTGGGCATGGAAGGGCTGACTGTAGCATAACCGGCCTTCAGGGAAGTTTTCTTGTGCTTACCCTTGTTGCTTTCTTGTTTATTTCTCGTGTGTTGCTGTACTTTTGTTTGGCTGTATTCATGCTTTAGCAACAGTGGGGACACTGTTGATTCTAAGTTTGGGGGTGTTTAAACAATTTCTTTTTTTATTGTTAATTTTATTGTGTTTTTGTCGTGTTTTCAGTTTGTCATTTTAGTGTTTTTTGTGTTGTTTGGAAAATTTTTTCTTTTCTGTCAGTTCTTTGGGGTGATGGTGAGTGGTATTCGATGATGAGGAAGGCTATGTTAAAACATGCTTTCGTGATGGACTGACTTGAATTGAGTATTAGAGAAGCTCATTGAATATGAGTTTTGAATACAATTCCCTAGATCTCTTTGTCTACAACATTCTAGTGTTACTCCCCCGTTAGCTTAGTTATGACTGGATTGCTGAGAGCTTAGGTTTCTAGAATTGATTTGGAGACTTCCTCGAGGCGAAATCCTAGGAAACCTAGTATGAGGAGGAAGATTGAGGACCTGTTCAATTAGTAGACACCATTCCATTTTATTCCTGTTCAAAGAAAAAAAAACCAATTTACTCTGCAGTCTTGATTGTGCTTAGTAACCAGGAGAGCATGAACTCCACGTTCACTTTTGCGTCGAACGGTAAATCGAGACAAGAGTAAGCAAAAGCACTTTGAATAGCGACTTTGCTGAGTAACCGGGTGTCTTCATCACATATGTTGGCATTCGCGTAAAAAGGTATTTGTGGCATTTCAAAGAGAAAAAAAAAAAAGAAAAGAAAAGAAAGAAAAGAAAAAGAATAAGAATAAGAATAATGATAATAAGAATGAGCAAGGTGTCAAAGGAAGAGGCAGTTAGGTTTCAAGTCTGAATCCAAATGCTAGGTGTTCTACATTAGTGAAAAAGGAGTCAATAAGTCAACATATGAAGACACTACTAGGTTTAATGATCGTGGTCTAGTTGAAATGGGCAACCGGGGAGGAAGCACTAAGGATGGTGCACACACACACACACCAGGGGGAGTGCTTGAAATGAGGGGAATATGGGCTGAACTAATACGAAAGGAGAGTTAGTGTTGAGCTTAAGCATGTGAAGGAAAAGAGTGAAAGAAGCCTTTTTGAAAGTAACCACTCACCTTGAATCCTCAAAACTGACTATAGAAAATTCTCCTTGTGTCATTTATTTTTGTTGATGTTTTCTTTATTCCCTTGGTTGTGTTGTTTATTTTGTTTGTGTAATGTCATTGCCCGAGGGTGGGCAATACTTTAAGTTTGAGGGTGTGATAACTCTAGAAATTAGAGTTACCTTAAACATTTCTTAGCTTAAAGTGTGTTTAACCAAGGGTAAATTTGTTTTTTCTTCTGTGTTTTATCTTCAGTTCTTGATTCTTGTGCTCTGCCATGTTAAAGTCAGGATATGTGCTAACTTTGAGGGGTCTGTGAAAAGAATTGAATTAAAAAGGACTGGGTTGTGTTCTAAGTTCTGGTGGTGTGATTTCAGGAAGTTGGAAGCAAAATGCAGCATTTTGCCGCAGCAAAACTGGCAGCAACAACATTTTGTGATGACATCAACGTGAACCTTTGCGATGGAAAAAGACAAAAGTGCACAGAGGGAGGATTCTGTGCAGAGTCATTTGGACCCAATCACTCACTAAGTGACACCTCAACGTCTTTTATTGCCCTGACGAAGAGTACACCCATTTTAGAGGTAGCACCGCAACAGAGGTTAAAAGGCAAGGAGAGTAAGGACTGGAAGGAGGGAGGGGAGAGAAAAATTGGTACTATATAGAGAGGAAGGAGAAAAAGAGGGCAATACTTGGAGAAAGAGATTTTCCAGCCTTCTTCATCACGTGGAAGCTTGCTTGAAGAAGGAAAAGGAGGAGAAAAAGGATTGAAGCTCAAAATCAGCTGAACTCCTCTTCTATCTCTATGTTGTATTTAATTTCCCTATGGTTTTGCAACTTTGTTGAACAATGAAATATACTGAGAAATTGGTTTTTATAATTTCAATTATGAGCTAAGTACCCTTTAGATAGGATTATTGATCGAATGTAAGGATGATGGCTAATTTGTGAATTGTTTGAGATTTTATCCATGTTCATCAATGTGTGTTTATTGCTTATTTCTATTTCTGACTGGCCATCAAATATAAGATACTAGACTGAGATTAATACTGAAAGGGTTAATTTGAGTTGGATCTAACATGGACGATGCAAGTTTAATATTCTTGTTTAAGTTTGTTGATTTGTGAATGATATAGAAATATATTATTTATCTTGCATAACTCGTTGAAACCAGTGATGAGATTTGCATTATGAGAACTAGATTCACATAAGAATATGTTGAAAATGATTTAAAGAGTTAAAGTCATAATTAATTCAGAAGGATTTTATGTAAAAGTTGAGTTTCAATTAACAGGAGTAATTATGCTATAGTAATTCCTGCACCATTTTTCTACCAGACTTACAACTAAGGGGAAATGAGTAATCCTAACCCATTTTAATTGCTGATTCAACAACTCGTAGTGAAATTATTGTTTCCTTGTTATTCTTACCTGCATTTATATTGTACTTATTCTTACAACAATTCAGTGAGCTCTTAGTAAATTCTTTTAGTTGATTTGGTACTTGCATGACTTCTATAGTTTATTCTTGTTGATACAATCTCTGTAGGAATGAAATTTGTTCTTTAGTACATTTTATTACTTGTACGATCTGTGTACTTGCGGAATTATGCAACATTATCCTCTCCCATAAACACTAATATATAACATTTAAGGTGACATAAATAATTATGAAATTTTTAGTAATATTTATAAAATATTTAATAATATATGCACATAAAATAATGAATAAACTATTTTATTAAATTAATAATAAATATCCTATTACATTTCATTCTTCTAGAATACTATTCCCAACATTAACATTTTTTTTGTTTTTATTTTTTTAATTTTCCTCTTTTCCTCATTTTTCTTATTTTAATTTTATTTTCTCTTACCTATTATCTTTTCTTGTTGTCCATTTCTTAATTTTTCTTGCAGTTCATTTTCTTTTTTTTTTTCCCTTTTTTAAATTAAAATAATTCATTTTAAATATTTGTCTACTTAAGTTCTTTTAAAAAAAAAAAACTCACACATTAATTTAATTTTTTTTTCTTTTTTCAACTTTTATTCTTTATACGCTTTTTTATCATTTTTTCTTCAAGTCTTTTGTTATTGTTTTTTTGTTTCTCTCCTATTATTTTCAGTTTATTTATTTGATAAGATTTTTTTGTTTTTCTCCTATTATTTTTAGTTTATTTATTTGACAATATTCTTATTTGAAATACGCTTTTTTTTCCAGTTTCTTCTAAATAAAATAATTACATTCACATATTCCTTATTTAACAGTTTTTTTTTAAATTTCTATATAATTTTAATTCTTTTCCTATATATTTCTCTTTCTCTTGCTTCATATTAATAGACTTAGTTTTTAAAGAAGTCAAATATTCTAATGCGGTGATAAAAAGTACCAAAGTGATTTTTACCTTTAAAAAATTAGGTTAATTATAAAAATTTCTCTTAAACTATGATCTATATAATACTTTATTCCTTAATCTTCAAAATATAATATCCATTCCACTTCAATGATGAATGGTTAATAAAAATGCTCCTTGTGTTAGTTTTCTATAAAAAAAAAAAAGAATCATATAACATAATTAGGGAGAATTTTTTAAATTTACATGTACTTGAAAAAAGATTACATATTAAAAATTAAAACTTTCCAAGTAATTTTTACTTAGTTAATTAATAGAAGCATAAAATTAAAAAAAATTGTTCAATTGTTTTATTTTATTTATTACCATTAAATTACAATTAAACTTTATTTTTAAAAAATAAATTTAAAAATCAAGACAGAAGAATAATTGTGCACTAAACTATTTAGTAACTGTCGATATTTATGTGACATGTGATAATTTTGTCAGAAATACTCATAAAAAGAATATTTTTGTAACAATTTATAGTTAGGAGAATATGTGTTATATTTTAAATCTCAGGGAGCAAAAATGATATACTGAGAATTTTTGTAATTAATCCTAGAGAATTTGACAATTGTTTTGAAAAATTGCATTTTTGCCCTCAATTCCTCCTCTTTTTCACGCCGCTCGCCCCTCTTTGGTTTTTTTTTTTTTCATTTTTTTTTTCACCTTTCTTCATCCCCTATCTGGTACTTCCTCCGGTCCAACACAGTCTCTCTGCCTCTCTTCACGGAAGCACAACCGAAGCTTTCTTTCCTGGGCTTCACCACCGAGCTCTCCACTGAATAGAAGGCCAATTTCTGCGTCGAAACTTTGAAGATCGCAATCCGTATATCACTAAAATTTTGAGGTAGTGTTTTCTCTCTTGAATGTTTTCAATCCGAAATTTCCCTATTTGAAAAAAGGAAAAACTAATCACTATGATTAATTTCAATATTATCAGACTTTTATGGTTAATTAGTTGAAAGTTTCCTGATAATAAGTGGCCTTGACCCTTAAGACGGCACTGATATATTGCTTGGTGTTTTTTTGGGAGCAATTTTCCGTAGCCTTTGCGCTAGTTTTTATCTGATATGGAAATTTCTGTGTCGTTTGTTTTTGCCTAATCTTTACTTAGTCTTGGTTCAAGAGGCTTGAATTTAGTTGCTAGGTTAGTCTTAGTTCAAGAGGCTTGAATTTAGTTGCTAGGTTAGTCTTAGTTCAAGAGGCTTGAATTTAGTTGCTAGGTAGATGAATTTCAATATAAACTTATCAAATATTCTGGAATTTTTTTGCTCCCAGATTATGGTAAACTATGCCATAGAAAAGTGGTTGTTGATGGGCTCTTTTACATGGATAATTCTGAGGATCAGCTACTCCATTTTGGCACTGTTTCTTTGACAAAATAGTTGATCAATTCTGCTCTATACTTCCAATGTCCTCAACTTTTTCTGGCCAATTTTTGTTACTTCAACTGAACTTTCTTTTACCCTTTAATGCTTGCTCGCTGAACTATTATGAAGTTCGCCCTTTCGTTTACCCCATGATCCATCAAGATTAAGAAAACATTTTTCTCCTATAATAAGGAGAACAAGATATCCTTTTAGAAGAAGCTAAAGAAAGAGAAAAGAAATAAAATCAATGAAATAATTTGTCTTTCCAACTCGTAGCAAGGAGAGAAAAGGAATGCTCTTAATTCCTTGGCAGAAGAAGCTCATAGTGAGGCTTGGAAATGAACTATAGTTTCCATGTGTTGTAATGAGTGAGTGCTTTATGGTTTCGGACAGAATACTTCTCATTTTCCGGCCAAATCTCTTAAAGCTTTGAAGATGCTAGTGTTCCTTAAATCTTCTTATTGAAATTTCGTACAAGAGGCTTCTAGTTTGATTAATCCTGTGAACTTATATGGTATAAAAAATTGTTTTGAATGGTTTTCAATTGCAGCCAGGAAATTCTCTAGCCAGCGCTTGCGTGAGGTTATACATGCCTTAGAGGAGCAGAAAGTTTCTGCGTGCATGCTTGCCTAAACGGTTAGAGGTTGTCAATGAGCTAACTTCTAGGAATCTACTGATTGAAATTAGTTGAGAGAAGTTGAGCATTCTCAGTGATTGAGTGTGCGAAAACATGAGGCTTTGCATTTTATCCTGGCTGGCGCTGTCCTGATCGCTTTTTATCCTGGCTGGCGCTGTCCTGATAAAGCCACAATCGCGAAAAGAAACTGCGGCGGGTGAAGAAATGCTCCAGGAGAATGATAATAAAGAAAAAATTAACAATGTTGATAGAAATGATCCAAACAGCAGTAACCCTGCCTTTTCATCAATTTGTCCGGAGACTGATAATGACACTAATCAGCATAACATAGTGCACAACAATACTCCTGACGATCCTCCATCAACTCAGTATTCCAGAGTACATATGGGGATTGATAGTGATATTGAAGCTGCCGCTCAGGATGCAGTGTTACGTGAACAAGTATGCTTTTCTTTCAAAATAGTTTTGATTTGCATGTTTTTGCTTTTCTTTCAAAATAGTTTTGATTTGCATGTTTTTTTTGTTTTTGTTTTTTGGGACTTGTACGATTATTTTTTCTTCTTGTATATAACAGGAAATGGCTACCCAAACAATCATACGGAGCCAAAGGTTTGTATTTGTTTTCTTTCATCAAATTTCTCCCTTTTTGTTGGATCAATATATAAGTTGTAGTCTGGTATTTTTTACAATTCTAGAGAGGCAAGAAGTGTGGATGGATCACTTCGGGATAATACAGACCTTTTTTCTGAACGTCATGACCCAAATGCTATCAAGGTGTGTGAATTTCATATGCTTATTTTTCTCATATCTGCTGTTAGAACTTTCTAAGTAGGCTTGTCTTCTGTTGTGAAAATATTATCAGTTTCTGTACTTTGTTTATGTGGACCAATACAGGAGCATCTATTGAAGTTGACCACTGAACATCGCTCTGAAATCGCTTTGAAACGTGGGAGGTCTACCCTACCAGAAGAAGGTTAGTTCTAATTGACACAGACTACTATACCTTTTTTTTTTTTTTTTTTTTTTGAAATGTTGCCCTCTGTTTTTATTTTATTTTATTTATATTATGGTCAATCTTTCCGTTTCTGAGAGTTTTGTTGTACGTGTTCTTTCTCATCGAGGTGTTGGGTTATATAATTTTTTTTGAGTAACTAGTGCTATATTAGTCCCTGAACTTTGAGTATAGTGACATTTTGGTACTTGAACTTTTATTTTTGGCATATTAGTCCTTAAACTTTCACTTTTTGACAGTTTTGGTAAAATTAACGAACGAAATCTGAAATTTAACAAAAATAATCACATGTCCATCGCGTGAAATCTTAAAATTTTGCAGAAAGAGTTACGTAACTTACGTTGTATGTAAACTCTCTCTCTCTCTCTAGAAACTCAATTTTTTTTTGAAAATAAAATCTAAAAGGCACAAGGGGGAAGTTGGGTGAGATATCCAACAACGCCGAAAAACAAAATAAAAACAACAAGAAAAATCGAACAAACAAAACTATCAAACAATTACAATACAAAAATTCAACCCACGCCTAACTAATAACATCCTCCCAACTTAAAATATTGAAAACCTGTTGAAAACTGTAATATTTCACGCGTATTGTAATTATTTATGCAAAATTTTGAATACTATGAGATATGTATGAGATTATCTACCTTTCTTAAAAAAATCGTTTGTCAATTTTACTGTTAGGCACCAAAACTGCCTAAATTTGAAAGTTAAAAGACTAATATGCCAAAATTGAAAGTTGAGGGACCAAAATGTCGCTATGCTAAATGTTCTGTAAGTTTATTTTCTTATTAAAAGTGTGGGTACCTAGAGGCGAGCACTGGTCTTATACATAATCTCAAATCAAAAAAGAGAAACACAACAAGTACTATTGCTAGTTTTGCACCACTCTTTGTCATCGCTGTTGTTGTTTGTTTGTTTTGTTGTTGTTGCTGATGATTCTTTTTTTTTTTAATTAATAATACATGCAAGTGAGCCACCACCTTAAACAAGAGATAAAGTACTATTCTTCAAATTCCAATTATAAATAATAAAAAAAAGGAATATGTTTAAACTCTTTAGCACAGTACACCCACAAGGAAACCGAGAACTGAACACAGTCTACACTCATCTGCTTAATTGATATTTATGTAAGACTGAATAAATGACGAAAGCTACTGCTAACTTGTTAACACAAAGACATATGGAAGGAGATAAACTGATAAGAACAGATGGAAGGAGATAAAGAATCAGGTTTGTTACTGCCAACTGATGTAACTTCAAAAGATTTTTTTTTGTTAAAAAACAAAACTTTATTGATAATAATAAGAAACTACAGCAGAGGACAAGAAGTCCTCACACAACAAAATCAAAAGCACGACAGACAAAACCATAATACATCTAAACCTGATTGATGCTAGCATTTGATTTGATTACTTATCCATCTTTTTTCCCACCATGTATTATCAAGCGCGATCTTTTTGTCAAAACAGAAACATATATTAATAAAGATTAGGGAACAAGGAAAAGAGAGGAAGAGCTTACCTCAACAAAATCAGTTCCAAAAATGCAGAGGGCCAAAAAAGACGAGACTCAAAGCAAAAAATCAAAAGGAAATCTAGCGCGGTCTTGCTAAAGCTAAAGGGTTTCTCCCTCTCTGGGAGCTACTTAAGTATTAATTTTTAAAAACAAATTCCTGTAGATTCCTAAGTGTTGTTTAGTGGAAGAGCATGTGGTCATGCTATACATTCTAGCGGTTAAATCCTAATATCACCATAGGTACAAACACTCGGCTAACTGGAGTGTTGATATCACAATAGCTCACTTTTAAGAAGAGTTAATTTTAATTTTAGTGCCCAAACTATGCTCTTCGTCCCATTTTGGTCCCTAAATTTCAAATGGTTAGCAATTGCACCCTGATCTGTCAAAAAGTCTATGATAGGCCTCCTTTGCGTTTCACTTATGCAAGGAAGGTGTATAAAGGGAAGAAAAAGGCTGGTGCAGGTGTTGCAGCACAGCAGGGGATTGATTCAGCCACTGAGCAGTGGGATGCTGAGTTGGCAAAATGATTGGAGGAGAGGCATTGGCGAGAGCATGGCCTAGAAGTTGGGAGGATGGTGTGACGTGAGCAAGGAGAGAGAATACTGTTAGTTAGTAAGCTAAGGGAATAAAACATGATGGGTGAGGAAATTGTAATCATCAATAATTTACTTCTGAGAATTGTATCTAGACGAGCCTTGGCTCTTGGAGGGCAGGGCAGTGGGTCTCTAGAAGACCCACCTATCTGTTAATTTTCTTCTATTTCATTCAATACAAATCTTAGAGAACAGTCACATTTCTGCTTATTTCTCTCATTAATAGTGTTCAAAGTTACCAGATTTTAACAGTTAGGCCCTTCCCTGTAGTCAAATTCTAAAATTAAATATATAGATTCTTGTTTTTGGGGCAAAAAAAAAGTCTGTTGGGCCCTTCAGTCGTAAAATGCTAAGAACTCCATAGAATAAACGACATGACCTTCACATGTCTTATCAATGAAGGGTATTTTTGATAAATAACGCATACAAAATGAACTTAAATAAATTTTATCTTCACTTGTCTGTTGGTCAATGAGCTCGTGCAGAGTGATCACACAATGTTTTAATTTTCTAATTTTTAAATTCGTTTACTGGCATGGCATTTGGTTAGAAAAGAATAGTAGAATTTTTGAGGAGGGTGAGGGGTGTGTTTCATGGGTCAAAATAATGTTTTTTATTTCTACGTGGGTATATAGGGATGAGGAGTTTGGTAGGTCAATTTTTTCAGGTTTGGGCCCCATTTTTGTAGTCCATCTCTGTCTCTGCTCGACTAATTTTGGGTATTTTCGTAGCTTGTTTTCTAGTTTTTCCTTGCCTTTTTTTTTTTTTTTTTTTTTTTTTTTTTTTTTTCTTAGGGTTCTCTTCCTCTGTTTGTACTCCACTTATCTCGTCAATAAAGTTTCTGTTTCTATTCAAAAAAAAAAAAACCTTTCATTAACTAGGATGTAAGGGTCACATGGTTGATTCTGTTGAGTTTTTAATGATTTTATGATGGAAGGACTAACAATAGACCTTTTTAAATAATGGATGCGATTTGTAACATTTCGAAATTTGGGGGCTAAAATGGGACAGGAAGCATAGTCAGGAGCCAAAACTAAAATCAGCCCTTTTAAGGAATAAAAATGAAAGAAAAACTTGCATCACAAATTTTCATGCGAATGTGAGCAGCGTTGTTGATTTGTTGTCTCATAAAGTACTGAATTTGGTATATTGCCAAATTAACGAGCTCAAAAAAGACTGGAAAACTATCCATGCATTTGTTTAGTTCAAACCATTTTACTACAGTGCTTTAACAAAATTTAAATTTCTATTCAAACTAATGAACCAAACAGGTCCTACATGTTTCCATTATTTTTTTTTTTTTGAAAGGTAAAAAAAAAAAAAAAGAACTATATGTTTTATTTGCAAAATTCGTGGACTGGTTTTTGCAAAGTGATTCTTCATATTTGATATGTAAAAAATTCAAAACCTTTACTTTCGCATTGACATGATAGGATATTTATATATACTCCGTAGAAGTTGTTCTAATTGTTTCTGTTTTTGTTTTTTTGTTTATTTTATTAATATTATTTTTTTAATCATAGGTAACACAGAAATTGGTAATGGATATGGTGTCCCTGGTGGAGGTGCCTACAATGGGGGAACGGGGACTAATCTTTCTGCTGCCAGTAAGATTTTTTTTATTTTCTTTAAACAGTGTTTAAGTATATATATTGGGATGTATATTTTAGTTTTTCTTTTTCTTTTTTTTCCCTTTCATATTTTATTGTAGTGACTATTTGTCATGACATCTGATGCTTAGAATTTTGGCAGTTGTAGGTAATGGAATAGGCCAGAATACTGTGCCTTGTGGAGAGTCAGAACACAAGCCTGGAGCAAAAGAATTACCTGAGTATCTTAAGCAAAGGCTAAGAGCAAGGGGCATCCTTAAGGACGAGTCAGGAAAAGGGGTTCCGGTAAGTTTTTGACGCTGGTCCATCTTATCAATCCATCTTTCTTTTCTTTCATCCCATTTTGAATTTTGTACATTAGAAGCTAAGTTGAGTAGGAAGCTATATTTCAAGTTTACTTTTAGCTAATACTTTTTATTAGCTGTTAACTTGTTCTCACTATAAGTTGTTTCTTTTAACCCTTTGGATTTAATGGAGCCAGGGAATTGAGGCCCTATATTTCTTTATTCTTGTTATGGTTTTCAGTATTTCTCTTGTATGAATCTTCAACACGAAAGTCTTTATGATTTTTTACTATAGAAGTTTCTGTACTTGTCAGAGAAAAAAAAATGAAATGATGTCGTTTTTGTCACACCATTTGATTTACAGTTCCAGAGTCCTAGTTTTGGGTTTTGTTTTTTCTTTTTTAATTTTCTCCCTAGTTTAATAACAGTAACAGAGTAACTTCTAATTTTGCATTTCAGAGGTTGGAAGCGACTTTGGCACGAGTCATGGAAAAGACAAACTTGCCTTTGGGATGGGTATGTATCTAATGCTGCACATGTTTTCTCGTCTCATTTTATTCTTATTTTTATGGACAATGATTAGTAAAATTTTTCTCATAAAAGTCATTTGCGTAGTCATCAACTTGAACAGCTAGAATTTAATCTGAGAAACAGAGTATCGTTTTTGAGATTGATAACACTCTATGGGATAAGGCTACTTATTATGTTTTCCCAATTTTGGGAAGATCTAAACGTCTCCACATAAATTTTTACTGCTTTATTTGACCATAATATAGCTTATAACCTTCTAAATAGGTGGAAGCTAAAGATCCAGCTAGTGGCGTTTCATATTACTATAACGAAACCACTGGCAATAGTCAATGGAAGAGGCCTGTGGAAACATCTTCTATTGTTCAACCTCCGATACAACCTCTTCCAGAAGATTGGATTATGGCACTAGATGAAACAACAGGTGCACCTTCTATGTTACGTCACAATACATCAAGGGTATTATCCCAAATAGTTATTATGGAGTGTAAATTCTTTATAAGTTGTATAAAAATCATTTCAAGGCAAAAGCTTACATAGCAGCTAATGTGTTGGCCATATATAATACCTAAAAATCTGATGTAGGGAAGCTCTGATGGGAAACAAAAAATGGCTATCCTTGTTCTTCCATACTATGCCTTATTATAATTCAAAAATTACTTTATTGGAAAATATGAATTGCAGCTTATGAGTTGTCGGAAAACATTTTGTGTGGTTAATTTTAGCTAGGTTTGCTTGTTCTTTGTCTCTTTTGTTATCCTTTCTTTCACTTTCCTTTAATATAGTTTTGGTTCTTATCACACACACACACACACACACACACACACACACACACACACACACACACACACACACACACACACACACACACACACACACACACACACACACACACACACACACACAAAGGAAAGGAAAGGGAAAAAAAAAGAAAAGAGGAGAAAAGAAAAGCTAGTCTGGTAATGCTGCATCATCTGACGATTTTGTTTCAAAAAACTTTTCTGAAATGTCTAAGGTATATATTAGCTTATGTTAGATGATACCATCTTTACATGGAAAGGTGAAGTGAACAAAACCATGCTGGAGATGCCTTTTCTGTATTTTGTGAATCACACTGCTAATAGATCTCTGTCTTCCCTATATATTCATCGTATTATTCTCTTACCGTTTATTTGATGTTTCCCTCTATTTTCCTTTGAGTGAATTCTTTTTTGAGCTCAGGATAGACCTGGGAGTAAATATCGCATGTCAAGAAGTAGATTGCGATATTCATGTTTGTTTTGAAAATTACTTCATTGCTATTCAGACTTTCCCTCCCTTTTTCTTTTTTCTTTTTCTTTTTTGAAATGTGCAGGTCATAAGTATTACTATAACACAAAGACACATATATCACAGTGGGAGTGCCCCAGCTCATCCCAGCAAGCTAAAACTCAGCATTTTGTCAACAAAGCTTCTGAAAATGCATCTAATGTGAGCTGGCATCTTCAACAATCTGGGATGCCAGGAGGGGATCAATCATCAGACCTACAGAGATGCATGGGATGTGGTGGGTGGGGAGTAGGACTTGTGCAGGTGTGGGGCTACTGCAATCATTGCACAAGGTAGGGAAGACTATTCCTGGTTAGCTTGTTATGTATTTGGGAGAAAAGATGAAATTGCTTTATTTCATATTACACACTTTTACAATCATTCTTTCTCTTTAAATAGAGAAGAATTGAGAACCCTAATCACCCAAGGTGAGATCCCGGTGATTCTCTCCTAAAATAAAAAGAAAACATACGTCTAATTATCCTAGAAACATACCTAATATAATTCTAGAAATCAGGAAACTAATTTACACCAAGTCGAATAAGGAAAGTAACCGGATTCCTCTCCAATCACTCGGTTTTTTCCACACTCCCCCTCAAGCTGGAGAATATATATTAATCATTCCTAGCTTGTCTGCTAGAAATTCGAAGTTTTGTCTTGATAATCCCTTGGTCAAAGCATCAGCTACTTGTTGGGACGAAGGAACATAAGAAAGCTCCACTATTCTCTGATCAATCTTCTCTTTGATGAAATGTCTGTCAATCTCCACATGTTTGGTGCGATCATGGTGAACTGGATTCTGAGCTATACACAAAGTTGCTTGATTGTCGCAATAGATCTTTAAAGTTGATCTATTCTCAAATCTCAATTCTTCCAACACTCTTCTAATCCAAATAGCCTCACAGATTCCATGTGCTAGAGCTTTGAACTCAGCCTCTGTGCTGCTGCAAGCCACAACATTCTGTTTTTTGCTTCTCCAAGTAACAAGGTTTCCCCAAACCATAGTACAATAGCCAGATGTTGATCTTCTATCTTCAATTGAACCTGCCCAGTCAACATCAGTAAAAGCTTCAATGTGCCTCTTATTAGTCTTCCCAAAGAACAAGCCTTTGCCTGGTGTCATTTTAAGATATCTTAGAATCCGGTAGATTGCATTGAGATGTTCTTCATGAGAGTGCATATACTGACTCACAACACTAACTGCAAATGCTATGTCAGGCCTGGTGTGGGATAAATAGATTAGTCTTCCAACCAGCCTTTGATATCTCCCCCTGTCTACAGGATCTCCTAACTCCTTTTTCTTTCCAAATCCATTCACTTCCACTGGTGTCTCGGATGGTCTTGCCCCTAGCATACCCGTTTCCTTTAAGAGATCAATAGTGTATTTTCTCTGAGAAACAGAAATAACTTTTCGCCACTTCCATTCCCAGAAAGTATCTCAACTGTCCCAAATCCTTGACTTCAAATTCTTTAGCCAACACCTTTTTCAACTCAGATAACTCCACAAGATTGTCTCTTGTTAGAATGATATCATCCACATAAACTATCAAAATTGAAACCTTACCACCAGAGTGTTTATAAAACAGGGTATGATCAGCTTGCCCCTGTGTGAAGCCAAAACTCCTAACTGCCTTAGTAAATTGATCAAACCATGCTCTAGGGGACTATTTTAGTCCGTAGAGAGACTTCTCCAATCTGCACACCTTATTACAACCAAACTCACCCTCGAAACCTGGAGGTAAATCCATATACACTTCTTCTGCAAGAGTTCCATTCAGAAATGCGTTTTTGACATCCAACTAATGCAGAGGCCAGTCGAGATTAGCAGCCAGTGAGAGTAGGATTCTGATTGTGTTGAGTTTGGCAGCCGGTGCAAAGGTCTCGTTATAATCAACTCCAAAGGTTTGTGTGAAACCCTTCGCTACCAATCTTGCCTTACACCTTTCTACCGAACCATCTGACTTATGTTTGATAGTAAACACCCATTTGCAGCCAACTGGACATTTCCCTTTAGGTAGCTCAACAACTGTCCACGTGCCATTCCTTTTTAAGGCCTCCATTTATTCTAAAACAGCCTGCCTCCATAGTGGTTTTGTCAGCGCCTCATGAATACTTCTAGGGGTCTTTTCTTCAGAAATCTTCTCGGTTGCAGCTCGGAAAGTAGGAGATAGATGAGCGAATGACATGAAGTTGTAGAGAGGGTGTTGAGTGCAGGTTCAGGTACCTTTCCGAAGAGCAATAGGAACATTAAGATCACTGACAGATTGCTCTAGCTCAACTGATTGACTTTTCTCCACTCCAGATTCCTCAGGGACAAAACCTGTCTCAATCACATTTGTGTGTTTACCTTCGGTTCAGGCTCTTGACAATGCTCTGGAGTACTGATAGGCTTCTGTTGTCTTTGAGATTGTTCACCCCGCCTAGAATAAACACGAAGTTCTTTTTGTGATTCCTTTTGTGGTTCATTTTGTGTGCTTTGCACATGTGATTCTCCACTTGTTTCCAAATCATTAGATTGCACAATAGGTAACACATGACTTTTAACCGGTGGGGTAAGAGACTCTGACTCCAATTCTGACTCAATGGAGAAATCCCAAAGCTGCCTTCCACTGTCACTCTCCCCCTAAGGGTAGATTTGGGGTAGTAAGCTTGATCTTCGAAAAAAGAAACATCCATGGATGTGTATACTTTCTGTGTACTTGGACAGTAACACTTAAACCCTTTTTTATTTGGAGAGTAGCCCAAGAAAATACATATGACAGCTCTAGGATCAAGTTTGCCCAGCTGAGGGGACATTGAATGAACAAAAACAGTACACCCGAAAGTTTTGAGAGGAAGATTATGAAATAGGCGAGATTGAGGATAAGACTGACGAAGAATGTTTAAAGGTGTTTGATACTGAAGGACACGAGATGAAAGACGATTGATCATATAGGAAGATGTAAGAACTGCATCACCCCAGAAAGATTTGGGAACATTATTAGTGAACATGAGCAAGGTTTTAAAAGGCGGAATCGGGCCTCGAGGCGTTTTGCCTATACGAGGCGAGGTGTAAGCCTCAAAACTTGCCTATAAAAAAATTTAGAAAAAAAAATAGTAACAAAAACTAAATCCATACTTAATAATCATTAAAATTAAGAAATTTAATCAAATATCCACATAAAGACTAAATAATTATCAAATCCTAATATCATAAGGATCATAATGCACTTCTAAAAGCCTAATCTCTTAAGTCATCAATCAATAATCATCATCAGATTCATCACTACTAAGAGAAGCATCAGCCAATTTAAATCTCTCATTGTCCACGAATTCTTGACTGTTAGTGTCAGAATCACAGTCTATCCACTCTTCTTCTTCATCCTCTTGCACGATCTCCTTGCCTCTATCACCTAATAATAAAAATTAAACTTAAGTTACTATCTCTTATATGATAATTAGAGTAAATAATAGAGAAGACAACTAGTAATTCATACGGCATATCTTGCCACTAACCTGTCCTCTTCTCCATCCTCAAAAGATCAATGTCAAGATTGTCAATTGCTTCCTCTGTTTGAATTTCGCCTTCATTTTCATTTCCGGCTATCCATTCAATCATCAGATGGCAACTCATCAATGATTAAGGGATCCTCATCTTGCTGAAGTGCCTTCTTTTTCAAATGTCGATCTTTTAGCTTCTTGTTGAACATGATGTAGACCAAGGAATTTATCTTTTGTGCAGTCAAGCGATTTCTTCTCTTGGTATGAACTTGGTTGTGGGTACTCCAATTGCGTTCACATCCCGAAGATGAACAAGTGAAACTCAAAACTCTAACTGCAAAGCTAGCCAACTCTGGGGTACCATCTCCAAATTGGGACCACCAATCATCTGAATTTAAAATTGAGATGAAAATAATTAGTCAAACAATCTAAATTGTTTTATTAGTCAAAATTAATAAGATAATTTCTACTTACTAGGATTGCGTTTCATGTATGATCCTTGAGCTTGACGAAGGCCAAAAAACCCATTCTTCTGTTGAAATTCATCTAGTTGGAGGTCGGCCTTCTCTAGATCATTTGGGTCCTTAAACATCCTATTCATGCAATGGTACAAACCAAGCTTGATCTCAGGATGGTTGGAAGGATTATTGGAGTATCGAATCCTTGGATTCAAGTAGTATGCCGCAGCATGTAAATGTTGATGCAACTGAAAATCCCACTTTTCGTCAATGATCTCCCAAATCTCCTTGTAGTCTTTCTCTTCACCTCCCAAGTTTTTAGCAATTTCCTCTTTTGCCTTATCCATAGCCCCATATATAAATCCCATGGCGGGCATTTTTTCAGAGTCGACAACTCTTAATACCTTCACTATGGGTTGTGTAGACTTAAGAACATACCCAACAGCAGCCCAAAACTGATTATCCTTCATGACTATCTTTTTCACTTGTTTCCCATCCGGTTTCTTTGCATATGAACTACTGTTCCATTCCTCCGATACAAACATAGATTGTAGAGGCTGCATTAGTCTATAGATGCACTCCAAAGTCAAATAGGCAGTAGCAAATCTTGTTGCAGCAGGTCGAACAAGATCCCTTTTGGTAAAATTTCTCATCAATGACAACACCTAAGGGTGATTGTACACATAATTGCTAATTTTTTTTGCTTTCAACAAAGCCCTTTTATGTTGTGGCAATTTTCCTAGTTTCTCAAGCATCAAATCAATGCAATGAGCAGCACAAGAAGTCCAAAATAAGTGTTTTCGTTTCTCCATTAGTTTTGCTCCAGCAGCCTTATAAGCACTTGTATTGTCAGTCACAACTTGAACAACAAGATTTTCACCAACTTCTTCAACAATCTCGTCAAGCATCTCAAACAATAGATTTGCATCTTTCTTTTTATCAGAGACATCAATAGATCTCAAGAAAATAGTTCCATGAGGATTGTTGACTAAAAAGTTGATCAAACCTCTATTTCTAGCATCCGACCAACCATCAGATAAAATAGAAATTCCTGTTTGTTGCCAAGTCATTTTAATTTCCTTCACAAATTTTTCAGTTGTAAGTACTTCCTCCTTCAAAATCCATGTTCTAAGCTCATGCATACTTGGGGGTACAAGACCTCTACCATAGTCGCCAATTGATCTACACATATTAAAATAGGAGGGGCTCCTAGCAATATTGAAAGCAAGTGCATTTTCATAAAAGAACCTACCAATGTCGAGACATACTCGAGAACGGGCCTCTTTTTCTCTTGATGTCGTTCTAAGGGAAGGTTTTTCGTTTGCTTCCTTATCATCCACAATGTTCAAAAACCT